GTTGGTTGGTTGGTTGGTTGGTTGGTTGGTTGGTTGGTTGGTTGGTTGACGATGGAAGACCACGTCAAACAGCTGACCCACAAAGAGGCGTCGTTGTGAGAGCCACTGGGGAAAGTCGCCCTTCCCCCAATGTTCAACTGGACCAACCGAAGCTCCAACGACCCAAAACTCCTCCTTCGAACGAAGGAAAAACCTTCCGGACCAAAACGAGGATCAAAACCTTCCGGGTGTGCATCCGAATAGGAAGACCCATCAGAGTTCGACTCATCAAAAACACAAAATCCATTGCTGGGTAGGGGAGTCACGGCTCCTGGCCTCCACCATGGTCTGCAGGAGGTGCATTCACAGAACCACAGCAGCTCCGCATAGGTCGAGATCTCCTGCAGCCACTGCGGCGTCGCGTGCGCGCACGCGTGCGGCTCGCAGGACTCCGCCATGAGCCGATCGAAGCGGAGGAGATTGGTTGTGGAGGTCGTTCCCGTGCAGTGATCCGTGTCATAGAAGAAGATCTCGCAATGGTAAGGAATCAGCACCTGCCCAAAGTCCGACTCTGGAACGGGTCCGAAGTGTACCACACTTCGGACGGGGGCAATGGCCATTGATCCACCGAAAATAACCAAGAGTGCGGCACGGTGTCTTCTTCCCTGGATGATGGCCGAAGAATCGCAGGGGAAGTTCTGAAACAAAGGAACTCTGAGAATGGACATCCGAAAGAATTGCGAGGCTCTGAGAGGCTCTTCTGTCCTTCCTTCGGCCACCGTGGGAATGCCTCACATTTCAACCCCTCGCTTGGATGATGTATTGGCTTACTTTGTATTCGATTGGCGTCGAAGTGTTGCAATAAAGTAAGCCATGTGCCCCTCCAAACACAGTGCCAGGCACATGACATTCTACGCCAGAACTCCCCCTCAAATGCCGACATCCGAAGACCTTCTTTGGCAAAGCCTTAATACTTAATAAGGATCAGCATTTGGGAATTGAGCCGGTAGACTCCTACTATACAGTGGTTTCAGAGTGGATGGCACAAACCCAAACATATATATATATATAGCACCATTTTTGTGGATTGTGCCATGCACTCTGAAACCACAGTCCTCATACAGTCCTCACTCAGATGTGCCATGATGTCCGACGTTGGCCTGGCTCGGCCACAAGGCACAGATCTGGCTTAGGGCCATCTCAGCATTATCGGTCCACACCACCACCGTTTCAAGGGACTCATCGTCACAACTGATCTCTTTGCCAGTCTTGGTCTCGCAATAGGAGCCATGCAAGTCCTGCAAGTGCTCCTGCATCGCCGAAAAGTTCTCCAGATCCAATGGATCCGCGTTCGTCGCGTTCGTCTGGCTTCCGTTGCACTCCAGGTCGCCCAGCTCGCTGGAAGCGGCCCAGCTGCGCAGCCGCGAGGACCAGCGGACTGGATCGTGACAACGGCGATGAAAGTGCTGAAGGGTTTCACACCAAGGGCTGGCAAAACGACCTCTTCTACAAAGATCCAGATCTGACTGCAACTCGGTTTGTTGATACTTGTGCCATGTGGAGGGTTCGGTGAAGTCCGAACACCACCAAAAATCCGCGTTGAAGCTGAAATGTGCGAAAATCAATCCAAGGGTCGCAGCCGAAGCCAAGCGAATCACGATGGACAGAGCAAAGAAGGTGCAGCCGGACTGCTGTCTCTCACCCAAACCAAACCTGGAGTATTTCTTGGGGCGCAATAAGTGCGCTGGCTGCAACACCACGTCCAAGACACTGCCAGCTCGCCAAGAGGAGAGCAGAAACATCAAGAGCAAAACACCCAGGGTGACATACGGAGTGGTCACCAAGTGTACCGCGGGCACCGCGGCCGAGGCCACCACTTCTGAAAAAGAGCACACCCAGACCAGCACCTGCCTCCGGTATCCATACTGTTCCCTGAGGGCACGGCGAGTCGCTTCTAAGCGGATGCTCCGGCGGAAGCAGGCAGAATCAATCTCTCCAGTGAAGCAGCTTGTGTCCGTGCATCTCATCTAAACAAGCTCGCAGCTTTTCACTCGCTGAAAGTTGATATATAGGAAGAGTTACTTTCGCTACAAGTTCGACTTCCGGGTAAACGTGACGAGGTCTCACGTCTTACACAGTGACTCACGTCTAGTGACTCCATGTAGAAAAAAAGGGTGGATCCACCGGGGTCGAACTCGGGGGAGGGAACCGCGTGAGGAACTCGGGGAGGGAACGGTTTTGCTCACACTCTTTTTGAATGGATCACATGAAAACACGGCTTTGCAGGCAGGAAATGCATGGAAATTCGACCGTGTGAGGGTTCTCCAAGTTGTTTTTTGCTGGATTCTCAGGAGAAAGGGTCTTCACTTTGGAGCCTGGAAGAAGAAACACTTTTATCCAGGTGGTCTAGAGTCTAGAGTGAGGAGGAAGCAACTGCAAAAATCGGGCCTAGCCAGCTCAATCAGCGCTGCCAAACATTTTATATCATGATGTCTGGCGGCACAAGGCTATGCCTCTTGATCCACGAACGTGGCCTTCGCGCGACAGGTGGTTCAGTCTGTGGGCAAGGCAAAATCAGCAGAGCCGTGGCCTGTAGGCGATTAGCTGATCGCCCACAGGATCTACACCTCCCTGATGGAAGTGGCAAGTAAGCCCCTGGTGGTGACCCTTTTTCTCTACCAACCGGTGGTTTTCACTCCACTTCCACCATGGTGGCCCCGAGAGTACCTTTTCGGGGCTCTTCCCTTCTCCAAGCGAGGAACTTGGATGAACTTGCGATGAACTATGAAAAGCCCTCCGCGATCGAGTTTTTGCAACATCCACTACACTGACTACAGCAGCTTCACCAGGTCCCCTCTCCTCTAATGTGACCTCTTGACTAATACACCTTGCACAGGAGGAGGATGTTCCAATTCAAATGGGGAGGCTTTTTTAACAGGAGTCTACAGTACATCCTCCACCACTCTACATCCCAAGGACCTGGTCGTGTGAAAACCAATTGCCTGGAAGAGGCCACCAAAGCAAGAAACCTTTTGAAACCTAACTTGCTGACAGAAAAAAGAACGGCACAGGGACCAGGAGGTGAAAATGTGGACCTTCAAAAACGAAGATGTGGATCTTCGATTCTATGTGGGGTATGAAAAATGGAGATCCACAGGTAGTGTAGGGTAGTCCAAATACGAGACCCTGAAAGGAAGGTGCTGCGTGTTAGCTCGGCATAGAAGTTTTGCGTGTAGTGAAGTAGAATCCCCCAGTTTGCGGTCTGGAGACACCTCCTGGGGCATATATGTCTGTTGAGTGCCACTGCCCGGTGGAGTGGTTGTGTGTGTGTCTAAGAACGGACAGAGGATAATCTGCACACACAGATCAGGATCAGCTGGGCACACAGAATCAAACAGCTTGAATCGAAAGGCAAAGAAATACAGGAACCGATGAACACATGAAAGGCCAGTGAATGGCGACACTGCTTCCTCGACCCGCCCGAAACTGGCCATCCTGAACCTGCTGGTCGAGGCTCCGCTTCGTTCGTCCCGCTTCGGTCGTCCCGCTTCAAGCCCCACACGAGTCCCCGAGTATCGTCACCCACCTGGGACTCGCGATAGGTGTCAGATGCCAAGGTCTTGGCAAAGTATGTATTTGGAAACCTCGGCACCAGCAATGGACAAAGGTCAGGGGGGAAGGTCAACCCAAAGCTCCTGCTTGCTGCGCCTCATGTCGTTATATAAGTGAGAACAACTTCCACAAATTCAACTTCGGGCAAGCAATAAATCTTTGCCGCCATCTGCACATCCATTAGTGTGCTGCCAAAAATCATTTGGCCCTCTTCCTCAACCAACCAGCATTGGCGGTTTTCTCTTTTATCCGGAGACCAAATCATCGGGTGAGGATCGGCCGCACTGTGATATGTGACCTATGCTGATCATCAGGATTGGTTCATGTTTTGTACCGCCAACTTCGCCTCCTAAACGAAGGGATCGGAGAAGGTCCGACGGATCACATCCGCACCGTCCGCGGTCCGCCCGGATGGACCGTCCGAATCACATCCGGATCACGACACGACAGTCGCACCGAGTACGTCCGGTCCAAGGAATCCATGGCTTTTGTGGACCAGGAATCCATGGCAACACCAAAGCCAAACCTGGCCTGCAAAGGCTCGGACCTCTCTGGAAGAACTGTGAACCGCTAACTGTGGATCAATGGATCAAACTATAACCACTGTGTGGTGAAAGAATGTCAGCATCCAATTCCAAACGCAAACCCTTACTTGGCCATAGCCGGTATGAACCGCCGCAGCCAACCCTCCCATCCACTTCCACTTCCAACTCTCCTACCCAGCCAACTCCCACCTCTTCGCGGAGAAAAAGGACGCCGACCACGCCGAAGTCACTCCGACCCCGCGGGCCTCCTCGGCATGGTGTTCTCCAGCTTGGGGCTCGTGTGCGTCACGAAGCCCCCCCGTCGAAAGTCCGTACTCCCGTGCTCCAGCTGACTCCAGCGGCCTAGTGCGGTGGGGCGGGCGGGGAGGGGGGGGGGTTGGTGAGGTGGCCCGAGGCTGTGTGGTGTTCTTTTGGGGGTGGTGAAACCGTGAAGGACTCGAAAAAGACACCATGTGGCCATGTAGGCCACTCTTCTGTGAGGCGTTGATGAATCGCTAGGTGAATCACAAGGCGGAACAAGGCGGTGTTGCCAAGAACTCTCGCACTGAAGTGCACTCGGTAGTGTTCACTGGCGGGTGTTCTTGGGTGTTTGGGGTGTTGCTCCACAAGAGCATCTCCAAATCACTGGCAGTGTTTTCGTGATCTTCCACCAATCTTCTCTCCAGAGCCCTGACCTCTAACTCTAAACCCTGTACTCTTTAAACCAACCACATCCTGGTCAATGAGCGCTGGAGAGGAACTTCGATCACGTCGTGAAACAGGTGCAGCTTGCAGCGTGCGCGCGATGCCCAGTGCCCCTTCACCAAAAGGCCTTTCAAACGCCCTCAAGGCCCCTTTTCTATGCCCGTTTCTCTAAGCCCTTTTAAACCAACGAACAGCGACCGGTTACGGGGATGGATGTGGACCGGATGGTCGGATCGATGGATGCGACGAGAGCACGTCAGGTATCTTCTAAGGGTTTTCGACATCGTTCCTTTCACAGAGAAGGTCTGCACGTCATGTCTGAAGGTCAGGTGAGGAACGTGAGGATACACGACAGAGACTGTGACATCTGACATCTTCCTAGGTCTGGACTTCCCAATCTCAATGAGAGTTCATATGCTTGGATTTGCTTGTTTCGGAAGCCCAGGAAACCAGAAAAAATGCATCTTCCCCAGATTTCTAGGATACAAAACAAAACAGTGAAGGGAACATCCAAATCCCCCAGCTGATCGGCAAAACATAGCAAAACCAAGCAAAATGCGGTGAGAACGCCTCATCTTCCCCCTTTTGTTGTGACCTCCGGACAATCTCTCCTCCGGACGACTTCTGTCAAATGCTGCCCCGCTCTCATGGGCTTTCTCGCCACGCCTCTACTATGTGCTCTGCCCACTCTGGAACCTCGACCTCAAAGCAGTCCAACGCAGGGAGTTCAGCATGTATCTGCTTTTGGGGGTCATAATCGATCAGTAAAAACCAGATTTTTTACTGATCGGTCACTCATAGACTCAGAGTCTGTGACTCTATGACTCGGAGTCACAAGACGGGGTGGTGTGGGGTCCCAGGATCAGTGAGTGGCGACGGCACCACCTCGAGCTCCTGGACACAACACGCCGCTCTGCGACTCCTGGGAGTCTATTTCAAGTCTATCAAAGTTCCCTCCCTTCCCTCCCTTCCCTCCCTTCCCTTCCCTCCCTTCCCTCCCTTCCCTCCCTTCCGTACCTTCCCTCCCTTCCCTCTCTCTCTCTCTCTCTCTCTCGTGCTTGCAGAAAATCACTCGTTTTACCCTGTTTCTTCACCCGGATAGTGTCCAGATGCTTCTGATCTGGGACGTCCAGCATCCCGATACTTTCGGAACACAACCATAAATCCACAGCCGGACTTACTCCTCTCCATCGAAGAAACGTGGCATGGAAATCCAACGCTGTGTTTCCCTCACCATCCCAAGCATGGCCTACATGGTTCCGACCGAAAGCCAGTCATCCTAAAGCCACGCACCAGCCAAATCAAAAACGGTCATCAACAACTGGAATGAACCATGTCTCTGGAAGTAAAAAATGTAAAATGGATGAATGTCATTGAATATCTCCCTATCCATGCTGTGCGAGCCCGGACAGCATGCCTCAAATGTGATTCTTGCCATCTCGACCCCACCCTGGGGGCCCAGGCAGACTTTGTCCATCAAGCACGAGGGACGCCCGGAGAGCCCGGAGAGGAAAGGCGACGGGAAACCGCTGTTCGGCACCCGTTCAGAAAAACCAACCGGAATCAAAAGAAACGATGGTCTCATCGAATTGGTCTGCTCCTGATGTCAATAGTCGCTGATTTTTGTTGAGACCCTTTGTCAAAAGAGAAAATGGATGGCAAATGAATCCCTCGGCACTTGCTCATGCTTCAAGAAAGCTACGCTGCTGCAGGCGATAGAGGCAGAGCACAGCTGCTGCTAGTAGGAAGAATTGTTTGCCATAAGAGAGCAGTCCTTCAACCGTTTTCTGGAAACGTTGCCCTTTATATTGCTCAGGTCCCAAGAAGATCCCAAAACGCATGGAGGATCCACCGTTTTCTGCACGAAATCAAAGCGCCACACTTGGCTCGCCACCTTTTCAGTCTCACGACTCTCACCTGTCTTGGCTTGTGTCTTGGCGCCGGTGCGGATACAAGGCGAAGCATTTTGGTAACCAGCAACTTCGGTGGAAGTCTGGATGTCTGGATGCACTGAAAAGCAGCCTCCCAGTGAGAAAACGTGAGAACCCCAGTCAAACCTTTCGGATAAGAAAAGATTGAGGATTTCCTGGCTTCCTGCATGGGGCCCATTGAGTGTGGGAGACTGTAGCCAGACAAGCATTAGGTTCTCAACAACCGAACACTTGAAAATTCCAACGAAGCATGAAAGCTTGAAATCACAAACACAAACTACACCCCAAAACCAGCTGCTTCACAGACTGGTTTAGAGCGCCAGGATGACGTTCTGGCCCTTGCCAAGAACCATGGGCCCTGTAGGCCCGGGCACCTCTACATTTGGATGAACGGCTGTAGGCCTCAAGTTCTCCCCGATCCCCTCGTCGAGATCCGGCATCTCACCCTGCAAGTCCGCTGGCGGAGGCGGCGCCTCCGGCAGATCCTTCGGCTCCCCGTCCAGCTTGGGCAGAGACTCCACCAGCAGCGGTGGCGGCATCTCCAGGGTGGGCACCGTCGGAACGCTTCGGACGGGCGCCGGCACCACGGAGCTCGGCTCGGGGGCCTCTGGCAAGTCGTCCTCGTAGATGGGCGGCAGATTTTCGGAGGCGATGAAGGCCAAATCGAAGTGGATGTAGCAACCTTGGGTGAGACCTCGTGCGCCGATCAATAAAGAAATCAAGGCCGTCCAATAGCCCAAAAGTTCTTCACCCATGTAGAAGAGCGAGTAGATCTGCAAGATGAACGCCTAGGTCCACAGGTGTCCAGTTTGTCAAACCCAACAACCTAACCCTCTGACTTTCGGACCTGAGATCCACTGGACACCCCGTAGGCCAATCTATCTTCTTCCCTTCCCACCCGACGGCAGACCAGGATAACCCTGCAACCGGCCCTCACCCAACAACTCAAGGGTCAAACGACTCCAACAAACGGATCCGACCCCTTCTCTTCCCAAGGCACCAGAGTGGCTTCTCCAGTCTTCTCGCTCTGCACCACAGCCAAAAGGTTGTCCGTCCACAAATTCGCCTTCATCGAGACTCGGAACTCCTGGAAGAAGTACAACAACCCACGGCGAAGCAGCTGTTCCAACAGAGATCGCACCACAAAAAGACCTTGAATCAGTGCGAAGCTGTAGTGATAGGTCTGAAGGTAGAGAACCACCATTCGAATGTCAGTCACAAAGTCTGCCACGCAGAAGCCAACGGCCATGAGGATCCACAAACGATTCAAGTAGCCTTCTGTGGTCCCCTGGGATGCGAGCTCCGCTTGCAGTGCTGTTTCTTCCATCTGCACCAGTTCCTGAAGTTTCACATCCACGGGCACAGCCCAAGGATTCCCCACACAGCAACAGAAGAGGAGGCTGGCGAAGAGCCACAGCACCGGACCACCAACACAGGTCGCCACCAAGATGAAGTGGAGGGTGAACAACGGGTCGCTGAAAAAGGCATGCGCCTCTCGGCTTCTGAGATCCGCCCCAACAGCTCAACTGCGAGTCAAATCTGGTCACATAGGGATTGAACAGTAAAGGGCCGGTGAAAACCCAAAACGCGCACAAACCGTCGTGTTCGTAGTGTCAGGTTGCCACAACCAGGGTGAGAAGTGAGACTACGAGAGCAAGCCCTCGCAAACGCTTAGAGCAACGTGCTTCACTCAAGAAGCTCCAGCAAGCAATGTGAGAGTCTCCAACACTCCCGCACAGACCGCCTGATAATACCCAAATCCTTCGCAAGATGCATTTCAAACGCTCGACGATGCATCTGCCATGTCCTGCTTTGTCCAATACCACGCCCTATTGCTAAACCCGCTTTTGGGAGGTGCCCCTTTTGCCCCGAGACATGCTCGAAGATGCATCCGCCACGCCTGCTTTGTCAAGGGTCTTGTCACTGGAACCTGCTCGGAGGTTCTCTTTTTTGCCCCGAGACGGGCTTCAAACAAGGTGCGAAAGGGCACCAACAAAAACTTCTTTTGTAGGCCTTTTCTGGGAGAACTTGGTGCTAGAACCCACTTCTTCAGGGGCGTCCTTTTTTGCCACCGCAATCAACAGATAGAGTGCAAGATAGAATCCCAAGTATATATGCTAGATAGAAGGCCATGTTATATTATAGATAGTGTGCCAGGGTATGATAGACACTGTCTTTGATGCCATGGCAGAACAAAAGTCGGAGTACATGGCAAAACACACATATCAGGACGGACGTCCGACCATATGTCACATCACCTGTCAGACTTCATGCCAGGAAAAATGACACATTGTCAACAAGGACGTCAGAACACAGTCCGGAACATTTCCCTGCCTTTATGATAGATGACGTGCCAGAGCAAGCATCAGACACATGTGCCCTGCCTTCTTCCAAATCGCCTCAAGGTGGGGATCACTTGAAGTAACTTGAGGCAGGGGGGGGTGAAGGAAAGCTAGCCACTGCTGGGAGCGGTTTGTTGTTCCAACGCAAGAGCAGTGCGGTAACGAGCAGGGTGGCAGCCTCCAAACAAAGAGGTTGGGGTGGTTAGGAGGGCCACGACGGTTCGTAGGAATGATGTGGATCCATGGCTGATAGGAACCATGAGGGTTTGCAAGCCAGGATAGGAACCATGAGGGTTGAAAAGCAGGGTTGATGGGAGGAGATTTTGATATGGGAAAGTGCTCATGAGGCAGCTTGATGAGAAGGTTCAGCTGCTGCATGGGAAGCTCATGGCCATCTCCAAGAGAGGAGCATCAAACCTGTCACACTCAGACAGTAACATTGAGAGGAGGATGGATGAGGGAGGTGGCCAAGTGCAAGATAGGTTGAAGCATTTGGTTCAGAGGCTGGTTGATTTGAGGGGCTGGGTTTTGATGAGGTGGGGCGGTGAGCCTTGTCATGCCTTGCCCCATGCACATGAGGAAGGCCAAGATGAGGGGTATGACGCCACAAGGGCTGGGTCCCATCAGGATCATGAGATCATGTGGGTTGGCATTGATTGAGAGGCATGAGCTCTTTTCCAGCCAGGCATGATGAGGGTAGATTTATATTGTGTTAAAGTGATGGAGAGAACTATATTTTGTTAAAGTGCTGCCATGCAATGTGGCCTCATGGTATAGCCTCCAGAGACGCCAACAGTGCGAGTTGAACCCCCGGAAGGGGGGGGTCGTCCATGACCATAACATTGAATGATTCAAGGATTTGAGGTCTTTGAGGCTGCTGTCCACCCTCTCAATTGCTTGCTAAAGCAAGAGTGACTCCAGCTAGCTGAGGCTTGCGTGATGTTTGTATTCTTTCTTAGGACTGGCCCGACCTCAATCTCCGCCAGAAATTGAAAGCCAGCGGCCCGCCGCATCGCTTGATCCAGGACCTCCACGATGCACTCGTTCGACCTCTCAACCCGCACCCACCATTCGGTCGAGGAAGTCGAGGACTTCGTCCCAAAACGATCGGCTTTTGGTGGAGGAGGCTCGGTCGACGACACTCTGACGAACACATCACATGGAAGTGGAAGGCATGGTCCCAAAAGGAAGCCTACTTTCCAATACGGCGTGCCATCCACAGAACCATGTGATGTCTTCGGTCGGAGGAACAAGCTCTGACCTCGGTTCCAAAAGGTCTGACCTCGGTCGACGTGCCGAGACGGACCGGTCTGTCCCGACATCGAACAGCATCGAACAGCTCCGTCGTCACGCTGTCTCGCTGCGAGTCGAAACGGTGGACACCGCGGTGGACACCGCGGTGTCGCCGAAGACGAAGCGGAGTCACCACGGTGTCGCCTTCGGTGAGGGGGTCCCAACTTCGCTCGGGTTGGGCGACAGACCCAGGGCACCCCTGAAACGATCCCATGAGCACGTGGCAAAACGCGGCATGCTCTTCGGAGTGCACTTGCCGCCGGACTCATGCGGCATGGTCGAACGGAAAGAAGATGTCACGTCGCATGGTGTCACGTTGGACGTGACAAAGGTAGAAGTTAGGAGGTTTTCGTTGATGGGAAGTTTGAATGCAAGAAGAAACATGAAACATTGCTGTAGTCAATACAACGGTCTTTTGGGTTTGTGTCCAGGTGACCCCAACATGCCCCAAAGCTCCGACCTGTGCCAAGGCGTGCAGTGCTGGCATTGGCAAAAAAAGAAGAGTTCCTCCTCGTTTAACGGAGCTTTAAGCCATTGAGGCAAAGTGGACTTGCAGCGTTGTAGCTCACAGAACTTTGAGACCACCGACTCCAAAGCAGTGCGCAACGGTGTTTGGGAGATCCTCGAGCACTCGCTGACCTCGTCCCAAAACATCTGGCACTCGTAGAAAACATTCACTGGGGGCCAGGACTTGCAGACTTCAAGCGAAGTCTCCACAGGATCGGTATAGATGATGAGATCCTCTTGTAGCAATGTGAAGTCTGGCAATGGGTAAGGGTAACACTCCACTTCACTCCCATTGAGACTCTCACAATGAAAGCCATACAGGTCCTCACTGACTGATGCCAGGGCTGCTAGATCAGCTGTCTGGCTGCTGTTGCACTCCAGGCCCAGTTCGTTGAAAGCATAGCTCCGCAGCTGTGTAGACCAACGTACCGGATCGTGACAGCGCTGCCCAAAACCCAGGATGGTAGGGCACCAGCTGCTAAAGTCCGGAAATGCTCTGCAAAGTACCAGATCCTTTTCCAGCTCACTCGATTTATACTCTGCCCAGGGATACCAGAAGGCCGAGCAAAGATGCCAGTCGCTTTGACCATAGACGTACGTGAGGAAACGGCTGGCCAGCACCGCTGCACAAGTGACGCGAAGCAGCATCGAGAGGGAGTAGAAGGTACGACAGGAGGACTGGCTCTCCCCTAATCCAAACCTGGAGTAATTCTTGGGCGCAGCAAGTGGGCTGGCTGGAAAAAGACATCCAATACACTCCCAGCTCTCCAGCAAGCGAGTAAAAACATCAGGAAGAGAGCTGCCATCGTGAACCATGGATTGGTGATCAAATGCACTCCCGGCACAGAAGCAACTGCCAGGATCTCTGAAAAGGAGCACAACCAAACCGCCGCCTGCCTCACAGAACAAGGATGAAAAATTGTACTAGTTGGGTGGGTTTGGATGCTGATGCAAATAAAGTCCACGTGTTTGCCGGCCTCAAAAGTAACATTCCACTCAAAAGCCTATGACCCGACGACTCATCACCGTTCTTTTCATTAACCCAGTACCACCCACAGACTACCACACCCGCCTGATCCATTGTCCCTGCAAGGCACGCCGCGTGGCTTCCAGCCGAATGGATCGCCGGAAGCGCGACTCAAAGACGACCGAGCGCACAGAGGGCACCGACTTGGGCGCCCGCTCGGGGGCTCCGTTCGATGCGTCCATCGCGGCGCAGCCGGATGCGGCGATGCGATGTCTAGAGCTCCATTCGCTTGGTTGGCAAGGCGTTGGGCATCTCTTGTGACCCAAAAATGGGGGAAGGTTGGCATTGTTTCGGAGTCTGGGGGGGGCCTTATGTAAGGCAAAAAAACCAGGTGTAGACCCAAAAATGACTTCGCTTTTCTCCTTCGGCTCCCTTCTTGTGTCTTCTCATCTGCTCTGGAGCCTTCAGCCCCAGACCTTTCACTCCCGCGACGCGACGGCACGGCGGTTCGTCGCGGATCGAAGCAGACGGCCACCGGGCCATTTCGGAACGCCACGCGGAACAGGTTGGGGGGTTGGATGTCCTGAAGCTGAGGTTTACCACACCAAGAGACCATGGATTCCAATGTCTACTCTGGTTTCTTAACGTTGAAGATTTAAAGAGAGGAAGACACGGGTGTACCGACTGTCACAGGTTTTGTGAGGAGAATGACATGCTGGGCATGTTTTTGGGACACGAGGCAAGGGCTCATGGTCTTCTCAAGGAACTCCCCTCCGCCCTGAGAAAATGGCACCAGTTTCACCATCGCTGCCCTTCGTTTCGGCCAGTTCTAGGTGGTATCAGGTATCCATTTCCAACGTGTTTTCAGGCTCCACAAACCTGGACATCGGAGGCGCTGTGTTGAGATGACTTTGAGGCATCCGCCTGGCTGAATCCAAAAACGATGAGAAGAAGGCGAACCAGGGCCCTCACCAAGGAGAGTTTCCAAAAATGAATCCTAGTCTTAAACATGGATGCTCATCTAGATTGGGCCCATCCTGACTTGTGGCCCAGCTGTGGCCCAATGAACCCCTCCAAAGAACGACCAGCGCTGATTGTTTTTTGCTTCGCTGGAATGAAGGCCTCAGAGGCCGGCCGGAAGAAACAGTGGGAAAGAGAGAAGAACAGGAACCACATTCGAACAATGTGTTGTGGTTCTGTGACTGCTGTAGAATATATAGTTCAAAACATGTGAGCAGCAAGTTGGCAGCAAGCAGCAAAAATGTGGGCCAAATGTTGGGCCTCCAGTGGGCTCAACGTTTAGGCTGCCGGGCGGCTGCCGTTTGGGTGTGGGGCCACAGCGACACAGGCGGACAAGCGACACAGGCTTCATTTGCTTCCAGGTTTTTGGAGTCAAGGATGATCAGTTGTCTTCCGAATTCGACACACCAAAATGTGACCTGCACGACCTGCAAAACCCGGGCTCCCAGAAAGGTTTGCTCCCAAGAATTGGGCTCCCATTTCAATGGTGCAACACCCACATGACCCTGAATTCGTTCTGTGGGGATTCCAAAAGAAAAGCACGGACCACCGACGCAAGGGCGTCTCCGAACCGGCAATCTGTTCGTGGATTGGTCCGCGCCAAAACATGATCGAAACCCTCCGTGCGGCGAGCAGTCGGCAGGCTCGCTGACGACTACAACCGTGCGGCCAGACTCTGCAGGCTCATTGCCACCGGCCAATCTTGATGACTCGCAACATGCAAAAGCCTCGGCGACCAGTAGCACTTAGGTCCCCAAAAAAGCCAAGCCAGTCATCCCAAATACCTAGAATCCCTTTAACTCCTGTTTTGATAGGCAAGGGCCACATTTTCGGTGGTTGGTACTGCAAATCAGAGGTCACTCAATTTCATTGAAAGATCCATCGCAAATAATCCCAACAACCAATTCTCCAAGCAAAAGAATATTTCAGTATAGGGCGGTGTAGGAAATGGTTGAGAGAAATATTACCTTTCAATCGATTTAGGAATGGTTGAATGAGAGGCCAGCAGCATGGTCAGTTTGTCTAAGTGTTGGCTTCGGGCGCTCGCGAGCATCTCAGCGCAAAAAAAAAAGGAATTCCGAACCAGCGGACGGCGAGAAAAACATGACTCTCCACAAGAAGCATCCTACCCCACTGTCCAAGTCTGATCCCAGCAAGCCCACCTGTCACTCCAAGCTGCCATGGAAAAGCAACAGCAGGCCCAGCAGCAGCAGACAGAGGTGCTGCGCCCAAACGCCACCCAGATACCGAGCAGCACAGAGTCCTTCCGCTCACCGGCATCGCGGGCCACCACCAATCACCACCACCGAGTGAGAGCCGGGGCCGCCCTAGAGAGCCGGGCCTTGGCCCCTTGAAAACGGTTGGGAGGGAAGAGGTCTCTCGTCCCTCCAAGAAAGGATCGCTCGCCTTGCTTCGGAAAAAAAGGTGAGAAATCCCCAACCGGCGCCCCTCATGACTCCCGATCTCCGGAAAAACCGGGTCGCCGGTGTTTGGGGACGTTTCGTGGTGTCGGCCCGATCTTGTTTCGGCCCGGAGTTCTGGACGATTGTTACTTAAACAATCAGTTCCAACAAACCAAAAGCATCCCAAAACCGCCACCGCCAATCACTGATGGATCACGTTCGTTCCCAGATCTCTGAAGAGAGCCAACATCGCCCAAAACCGCCTGCAGCAGATGCCACCAGCGCCGGCCTAGGCGGCTCGCGCGGCGCGGGCGGAGCTCGTCTCTTCGGCATCTCGGCACGCGAGGAATCGGAGTGGAGAGCTACCGAAAGGGACACCAACGGTCCGATGTTGGAGAGAACAGACCCAAAAGTTGTTGACTTTTTGTGAAAGTGACCAAACTTCCAACAACTAAGAAGAAGCCACTGACTTCGCAACTTGGTGCCCCACAGCAAAACCACATGTCGTGGGTTTCAGGTCGCTTCCGTGTGATGTTCAGAATGCAGAGATTCGTGGAGACTTCCCCCCCTCTCCTCCACTTCTCCCAGCTTTGACCAGTCCAAGGAGGTGAGAAAACACTAAGCTTTGCACAGGGCATACTGGAAGGTAATGCTTGGCACAAGCAGCAGTCCATGCCTGAGAAGCACCCCAAACTTCAGGCAGTTGATGAAGGTGAGGGCTTTAAGAGGAGAAGATCGCCAAACACACAAAATTCATCGACGATTTCACCTATCTAATTCAGAACTACTTTCCAGAGAGCAATCTCACTTGAGTCTTCTTTGGGACAGAACCTGAGTTGTGGGAAGAACATCTCCCAGCACATACTAGCGCCTCCAACCTACTAGCGAAGGCCTCCAACCTACTGTAATAGCGATGGCCTACAACCTAATAGCGAAGGCCTCCAACCTAATAGCGAAGGCCTCCAACCTAATAGCAAAGGCCTCCAACCTAATACCGATGGCCTCCACCCTAATAGCGATGGCCTCCAAACTACTAGCAATGGCCTCCAACCTACTAGCGAAGGCCTCCAATCTACTAGCAATGGCCTCCAACCTACTAGCGAAGGCCTCCAACCTAATAGCGAAGGCCTCCAACCTAATAGCGATGGCCT